GGGGGACCCGTCTCTGACACCGCCCGTCCCTCCCCGTGGGGACAGCGTGGGGGCCCCTGCTGAGCCACCGGACGCTCACCAAAGAGGCTGCTGAGTGACGAGTCGGTGGAGTCGCTGGGGTACCACTGGGGGTCATGAGTGGGAGAGGCAATCCAAGCGGGCTGGGGGCTGCTGGACGGGGATGACAGACTCTTAGAACTGTCACTGCCATTCAGTTTTGCTGGAGAAAGGGAGATGCCTTCACCTGCAAGCCAAAGTCGTGGTCAGAGGGCACGCAAGGGTGCAGAGCAGTCCGATTCCCCAAGCTCCCACCAGGAGGCAGTGGGGCAGTCGGGCCCGAAACCCGCCCGTGCAGGGAGCTGGCCTCAGAGTGGCTGCTCTTGGCAACAAAGGCTCTGAGAAGAGGGAACATCGAGGGAGACGGTTCGCTCACAGGCCACGTCTGGGCGGTGCCAGGACGGCACAACTCCCACTGGTGGCCGAGGGAAGGGGGCGCCCCCCGCTGATGGCTCGCCAAGGCCATGTGCTCATAGGCTTGAACCCGCATTGCCTGACCCACGGCCTGAAGCCACGAGATTCAGAACCGCTTGGAGCTGGTCCACCAGGCTGGAGGGGGCTCACTGGGCCCCACTCTTGGTCTCAAGGCTGGGGAAGTTCCTACAAACCCATCAAAGCCTCGAGCCAGAGCCTGACCTCCCTGCTCACCACCTGCTGGAATCAGGCAGCAGCTGCTCTTGGTGGAGTGGAGGCTCCGAGCAGAGCTGACCGAGAGTTTGGACCTGGCCCTTCCTGCAGGGCCGAGTGGGATGGGCTGTGAGAGTGTGGCCATGAGGGCATAGGGCTGTGAGGGGGCGGGGCCATGACAGTGTGGGGCGTGAAGGGGCCGTGAGGGGACGGGGCTGTGACAGGGGCGTGGCCATGACAGAAGCATGGGTGTGAGCGGGGCAGGGCCGCGATGCCGCCCTCACCGCCCTCACCCCTCACCGTACTGGCCAGAGCCAATGGCCAGGTCGATGATGGAGTCGCTGATATGCGTGGCAGGCTCGCCCTGCGAGAGCACGTCCTCTGGGGGCCCCGGGAGGGAGAGGTCCAGCAGAGCAGAGACATTGGGCGGAGAGAGCCGAGTGCTGGCACCTTCCGAGTTGGGCAGTGGCGCTGAGAGGCCGTTTTGGAGTGGCGCTTTGGGCAGCTCGGCTAAGGAGAGGGCAGAAGCAGCCTGAAAGAGAGCGCGTCGGTCAGCCCTCGTTACTGACAGGATGCGACCAGGGAGCACACGTCAGCAGAGTTGGCCCGGCCACCAAGCAGCACACGGTGCAGTCTGGTGCCCGAGCCCACCATGGAGACGGTGAGTAGGAAGGCCAGGCCCCGGCAGCCAGGTCTCCTCCTCAAGGACTGCAGCGCACACACAGAGTGGGTGCCAGGGAGGGCGGCCAGCTGACCCCTCCCTGTCCGCAGCACGCCGAGTCCCCCCAGGCTCATGTGTGTACCAGGGACAGATAGAGGACGGCACTGCCGGCACCGAGCCTCATTCACAACCCTGAAGGTCCCAGCGATCTGAGAGAGGAGCAGGGAGGGCAGGGCCTCAGGAGCCAGACGGGGGCCTGGGCAGTGCTTCTCTACCCAAGCACACACTCCTACCTGGAAGCCGTCCGCTGCTGCTTCTGACTCCGGCTCGAGCCTCGAGGGGACGCTGATGAAGGGACTGCTCGAACCCGCATCCTAGGGGAACGTCAGAAGCACCCGTGAGCAGCCCACCCCCATGAACTCTGAAGGAAAGCACAGCAATGCCACCAGCTGCCCGGCAGCAGAGGCTCCATGAACAGACCCCAGTGAGGCCAGACACGCCACAAAGTGCTCCTGGAGGAGGCCAGGCGGTCCCTGCGCTCAAGGACGGGTACCAACCCCAAGAAGCTGACTCGGCATCGCCCAGCAAGGCCAGGCTCCTGAGGATCCTGATGGGTCGCTGGGCCCCTCCTCAAGCCTGTCTAACAGGCCATGCTGTTGGCCGGCGTGAGTAAGGACATACCGCCTGGCCCCGTTACTCGCGGGTGCACTGGGTGCTGGCTGTGCCAGAGGCACAAGATGAGCCCATCCCTCGCAGGTGCCAGTCCCAGCTTCTGGTCTCCTATCACCCCACAACTCTCCTCCCGGACACTTTAGCCCATGGGCCACCCTCTGGAGAGGTAGAAGCTGGGCCCCTACGTGGCCACAGCTCAGAACATGGGCTTCCAATCCCCGGAGTAACCAGTCGGTAACTAGACACACGTATACTCACAGTGGAGATGGTGTGTCCATTCTGGGGGGTTCCGGTGGGATCCTGGATGGTGGTAGCTGAGGTCACATCATCTGAGGACAGAGGAGGGATACCTGCCAAGCCCTCGGCATCCAAGACAGGAAGAGGGCTCCCAGGAATGATGCCAGCACTCTTAGCGGCCAAGTCAATGGCACCTGGTGGCAGAAAGGACACTTCACACCTCCACTCTACAGACACCTTGAAAAATGTCCCAGGCAGCTGTGCAACAGCTACTGCTTTACACCACATTTCAATATGAGGGCCGACGTGTCACATGTTGTCTTAGAAAGGAAATGACATGCAGTGGCTTGAAAAAAAGGTGAACACCTTGCAAACAAATGTCACTCAAAAACCCAGTGTGGTGGCCACCACCACATCCGATTACTAAAACTTACTGGCCAGCTGACTGGTGGCCTGGGCTGGAAGGACCTTGGGCACAATCGGCCTTGACAGGGCTGCTTTCGTCAGAGAGGACTGGATCGGCCGGAATGAACCTCTCCCTGCGAGGACGAGAACAAAACCCTGGCATTGGCCTCGCTCACCCACTTGCACCCCCACCCACAGCAGGGGCCGCACAGGGCTCTCCTTCCAGCCAGTCGGGGCACAGAGTGGAGCCAAGGGCTGCCCAACAGTCCGAACACATGCCGCCTGGGAAGGCCAGAGGCCGGGGCACAGCAGCAACACCTCAGGAGCTGCTGAAAGGCTGCGGTCACCACTCTGTCCCCCAGCACGAGCAACCAGCACCACCAGGGGGCAAGTGTACCCCACTGTGAGCAACCAGCACCAGGGGGCGAGTGTAACCTGCGGGGGGAACCAGCGACACTGGGGGATGAGTGTAACCTGCAGGGGGAACGGGCGACACCGGGGGGTGAGTGTAACCTGCCGGGGGAACGGGCGACACTGGGGGGTGAGTGTAACGGGGGAACCGGCAACACCAGGGGGCGAGTGTAACCTGCAGGGGGAACGGGCGACACTGGGG